GACGTGGGCTGTAACTTCCCCAGAAGGATTCTTCCAGATTGGAACCCAACATGGCAGAATAGAAAGACATGAGTGAGAGCACCTGGGGCTTTCCTGCTCTGAGCACCCTTGACCCTTTTACCAAGTCTTTATCCTGAGTGTCTTATCTGCATGACGAAGGGGTTGGGTCATGGATGAGATCATTGTAAGGTTCTGTTTTCTGTCCACTGTCACGATTTTTGCTTTATCAATATATGACTATTGTTTCTTTTTCTTTCAACCCACTGTAAAGGTGCTCATTTAAAAATTAGCCTCATGCTAAACAAAAATACCCATGATATATATGCGTGTGTGTACATATATGTAAGTACTCTATGATAAATTAAAAGTTATTATTAAAGTAAGGAAGGTTCTTCTGTGTAGCTCCAATCCTAAATTACATCTCTTCACAGTGCACACCCACACTTTTCTCTGGGTTCCCCTGGAGTAGAGGGTTTAAGTCTTTCTTAGGTAGGAAGCTCCGTGGGATATTTGACCCCCAGTGGAAGCAAAGAATGAGCCCTGTGGCTGCCATTTTGGTGAGAGCCTGGGGCTTTTAGATGAGTTCAGGCATCACTTCATTGAACTTGGTGGTTGAATTAAGGGACATGAGGGGCAGGCAGGGCACAACATCACCCGCTCTCTTTCTTGATTCTGTCCCCAACCCCAGAGAGGTGGCCTCCCGTCCTTTAAACAGGCCCTCCCTGGGGATCGCTGGCTGCCTCTGTGCAAGATCAGAGGAAAGTTGTTATGCCAAGGCTCAGATGACAGAAGCTGGCACACTGAGAGTTTTCTCCAGCAGGGGAGGAAACACCCCTGACAGAGAAGGTCTGAGTAGGTCAACAGTGTGTTGACTTTTTCCAGTAAGAATTTCAAGCCTGTCTCTTGGATGTTGAGCCAGACCTTAATGTTTAACCCCAGCTGGCTCCCTTTTACTATGAAAGCTCCTATTATTTGCAAACTTCAGTTTGTAAAAGAGTTCATCAGACCGAATTAAAATGACCACAGCAATCTTGAACACATGTGCTGGACTTTACAGCATTCTGCACTTTGACCCCCATCTCTCGAGTCTCTGAACAGCCTGGTGGGTTGAGAATTGTTACCGATGAGTGAGCCCAAGGCCAAAAGGAGCACAGGGACATGTGGCCATGAGATTTGATTGGTTCCACTGACGCAAAGCCCAAAGGTCTCTGTCAGTCAGGAAGCTTCCATAGAGTGGTCTGATTGTGAATATCCTAAATGCAGTTCTGGGCTTAATAATTTTATCATCACATCAGAGAGAGGGAGAATATAGGGGTGCCCTGTAATGTGGCAGGTTGCTTGGGTGGTGCTTACATTTTGGCTGCATTTTGGGATTCTCAAAGTGTGGGTTGCCAACCACCTGCATCAGAAACACCTGGGGTACCAATTCCAGACCCCTGACTCAGCATCACGGGAGGTGGGCTCTGAATCCGTGTGCACAATAAACATTCCAGGAGATGCTTGGGATTCTGTTTTCTGTGGAGCAAAGGGATGAGCCATATTACTCTCTGGATGTGAAGGGTCTGGCTTGTTTTGTTGTTTTTGGACCATATACTATATTTTATTTTATTTTAATTTTTTAAAATTGAATTGTGTTAGTTTCAGTTGTGTTAGTTTCAGTTATACAGCAAAGTGATTCAGTTATATATATACATATATATGTATATATATTCTTTTTCAGATCCTTTTCCCTTATAGATTATTACAAAATATTGAGTATAGTTCCCTGTGCTATACAGTAAGTTCTTGTTCTTTATTTTATATACAGGGGTGTGTATATGTTAATCCCAGTCTCCCAATTTAGGGACTGGCTTGTTTTAAAGCTGCATGTATGGGACATGGGAAGGGTATAATCCTGTTCCTTCCCACTTCATTTTTTGGAGGGTAACTCTTTTCTTTTCTATCAGTCCCAGCTCACCTCAGAAAAATGGTGACTGATGCGGAGATAGATGGCATTAGTTCTGACTTTTCTAAAGTCCTGTAATTCTTGTCTGAGGATCTTAATATGGGAGAAAGGTGAGTCCTAGGTCTGGCTCAGAGGCAGCTGACTGCCTGGTGTACAGATTTCTCTGTGTAGAGTCAGAAGGAAATTCAGCCTCTTTTATCTGACCATCCATCCATCTATCCATCCATCTATCAATTCATTTGTTCAAGGTGTCCAATATGTGCCAGGTGCTTGGAGTATAAGGAAAATAAGACATGGTCCTTGTGGGGACTAAGTCCAATTTAGATAGGAGCAGAAGTGTAAGAAGAATGGACCCGAGAGTGGTCAATTTCATAGACATTTAAGATGGCGTCGAATGTGAGATGTTAAAAAAAAAGAAGGAACTATAAAAACCATTGCAGGTAATGCAGACAAGCCTTGCACAAAGGGCAAAAGACAAATATCTTTTTATATTACATAGTTCTTCAAAACACAGAGTTCCCTGGATTTTAGCACTTGCTTTGAGATAAGCCTGTGGATTATTCTGCAGTGGGATCCTTGCGCGCCAATGAATCAGCAACCAGATGTCGACACCAGAACATTTGTGATCATCTCTAACCATTCCTGCAACTTATTCTGAGGATTTAACTTTGAAACTATGATTTCAAAGAAAACTCTAAGTAAGAACATCCAAGAGACATTTTCCAGCTATATCTCTAGTTCCAAAGTGCGGTAATGCCGTTGATTTAAAAGCAAACCCTATCTTCCTTCATAGGAAGTCTGTTGTTTTAATACCTTTCTAATGACTAGCATCTAATAAAATAGCACAAATTTACACTGAGATGCTACCCACGCACTCAGGGTAGAGTGACAGACTTTCTTGAGTAGCAATTCACATTTAAGCTGACTAATGTACATGTGGTTTGACTTCAACGTGGTTCAGTAGGAGAAGTGAAATGCTGGATGAGGGCTGTCTGGAATACCCGTGCAGTTCCCACAGCCCATGCCTAGGCGGCGTGGTCCCACAGGACTCCCTGATGAAGGTGAGGTTCTACACCTGTGGCAACTGAGCCCTTGAAATGTGGCCACTGTGACTGGTGCTGAGTATTTAATTGTATATAATTTAAATTAAATTAAATTTGAATCTAGACAGCCATATGATATGTAGTAGAAAGTTACAGCTAGGACATGGCTATGAAAAATCAAAATGGCTTTTCTTCTCTCTCCTTCTCTCCCCAGCTCTACCCCCCCCCCCACTTTTTTTTTGACTGCACTTTTTTATTTGGTCCAGAAATTAACATAACAATCACAAATTTTCTTAGTTCTTCTAGCTTGCTTAATTAGTACAATGTATTTTGCACAATCACTATTTCAGCACCCTATTTAAAGTAGTGTACGTCAAAACTCTTTAAGGAAAATGTCTTTGCTATCAACAACTTGTAAGACACATCATTGCAATTACTTTCTGGGGGAAAAAACCCTTTACATTGTTAAAGTACTACTAGACACATTAGTGTAAATAAGATGAAAGGAACTTCAAAAGTGTCACAGTTGTTTCCATTCCTAAAAATAAGTTGGTGATGAGCCGTAGCTTGAAACAGGTGAGAGTAGGTGAGAGTCTCAGTTATATGTCCATTAATCTCTGTACAGATTTGAACAAAATAAGCAGCAAGCGATATCCTGGCTTCTTTTTTTTCCTGCTTGCCTTGCCCCACCTGATCCTTCCTCTCTCCCACCTCCATGACTACTGGATAGAACAAGAGGGCAAAGTCGACACTAAGGAAGGTGGCTCCCAGAGAGCCGTGTGACTGGCAATTACTAGAAGAGAAGCGAATTGCAGGTGAGGTGTGGGTAGCACTGGGGTGGAGACTTGCACTAGGCTCCTTTGGGAGTGACTCTTTCTGTTTGTTCTGATTTCCTCTGGGCTTTGACTCTCCATGGGTGGGGACATGGAAATGAGAACCAAGGTCATCCTTCCAGTCTTGTCCAGAAGTAGCTGCTCAATAAATGCTTCTTTTTTTAAAAAAATTATTTTATTGAAGTATAGTTGATCTACAATGTTGTGTTAATTTCTGCTGTACAGCACAGTGATTCGGTTATACATATATATATTCTTTTTTATATTCTTTTCCATTACAGTTTATGACAGGATATTGAATATATAGTTCCTTGTGCTACACAGTAGGACCTTGTTGTTTATCCATTCTGTATGTAACGGTTTGTATCTGCTAATCCCAAACTCCAGTTTATCTCTCCTCCATCCCCTTTCCTTTCGGTAACCATAAGTTTGTTTTCTAAGTCTGTGAGTCTGTTTCCGTTTTGTAAATAAGTTCATTTGTTTCATTCTTTTACGTTCCACATATAAGTGATATCATATGATATTTGTCTTTCTCTGTCTGACTTACTTCACCTAGTATAATAATCTCTAGGTCGATCCTTGTTGCTGCAAATGGCATGATTTCATTCTTTTTTATGGCTGAGTAATATTCCATTTTGTATATGTACCACATCTTCTTTATCCATTCATCTGTTGATGGACATTTAGGTTGCGTCCACGTCTTGGCTATTGTAAATAGTGCTGCTATGAGCATAAGCGTGCATGTATCTTTTCAAATTAGAGTTTTGATTCAGCAATCCCACTCCTGGGCTTATATCCAGTCAATAAGCATTTCTTGAATAAGCAAAGGATGTCAGAGCATGGAAACCACTGTTCCAACCTCAGGGAGTCATGGCCCAGCCCAGATTATTCACCTCCCAGGAATTTTAGAGGAGTTAACCAGAGAATGCTTGGACTGTGTTACTAGGCTGGTATTTATTGGCAGCAATAAACACTGTAATGAAAAATACTGTAGAGCATTGAATATTTAAGCACACTGAAGGGAACTTGGCCTTTGACATCTGGCTGTAGCAGATTGAATAGTTACAACATTGTTGGAAAACATAATTAAATTTATAGTGTGACAGAATCAGTGATTACGTACCCTTGACAGTGGCAAGCATCACTAAAATATATGTTTTTCTCCTTTCTACCTTACAGACAGTATTGATAAACCAGGTACATCATTGCCTGCCTGGGCCATAGTTCTACTTGCAGTATCATTGTCATTGTTTTTGATCCTGATCATTGTTCTGATTATAATGTTCTGCTGCTGTGTCTCCAGGAGAGGGAAAGAAGGTAATTTTTTTGTTGTTGTTTGTACAGATTTATATATATTTTTGAACTTTTGGTACAAGCATTTGCAGTTTATTAGCTCATCAACTCTTTCAAAAGATATATTGGCTTTTAGAGTCCTTGAAAGGAAATGCATGCCATTCATAGAGAGGGAAAGGACTTTCTCAAGAAAGGAAGCCATTCCTCTGGAGTCTGAGTCAACCCCCCAAGGAAGACAGATCTTCACACTTTGAGAAGGTGAAGAGGCAGTGCCTTTCTCATCAAAGACACTGACTATTTGAGTTTTGTGTTTACTGGCAAGGACATAAGGCTGTCGCAATCTGTCATTTAGATGCTATGTTTTTTCTAGAATAATACCCACCTATCTGAACACATCAAAAGATTATTTTCTATTTTGTAGAATTCTGAGTCTCCTTTTGTAGGTGAATATTGGTATAGTGGTAGAAAGAAAAACATGGTCTTCTGTTAACAAAAATAGTACAAGTAAAGTAAATAAAAATAGTTACACATGTCTTCTAAATGAAGTCTTTTGAGATACCCCAAGATATATGAAGGAGTGGCCTTGTTTGGGGGTCAGGCCAACATAGAGGTGGGCTTATTAATATTAGGGTGGGTTCATCAACATTGGGGTGGGCTTATTCTGGAGTTAGTTTGTGATTTCAGAAACCACAGGGACTTTGCCATATGAACAGCTCAGGACTTTCCAAGTGTTGAGTGTGTGTGTCCATCTTTTTCTTTCTCTCATGAAACCTCCACATACTCCTACTGAATATTTAAATTAAATATTAAATATTTAAATATTTAATTTTGAATATTAAATTAATTTTCTTAAAGTTAAAGTTTTGATGTTTAGCTACATGTCAGTTTAATTGCACTTTTAATTTTATTAACACTAACTGCCATTCGATGAGCACTTTTTGCATGTCTGCCAGGCACCGTTACCTAACTCTTTTACTCAGAATAGTTCTCTTAGTGAGATATTCCATGTGAAGTTCATGGTCCAGCCTTAACTAGGCTAATTGTCTAGCCTTAGCTCCTGCATGGGTTTGGTTTGTCCTTGGGGAATTAATTCTGTGGTATACCTTTATTCTTTAGGAAACAGAAGTGAAAAGTAGTAAATACCTGTTGACCCATATTTGATGGGAATTTGTTTTTACGAGAATTTGTTTTTACCTAGGAGTTACCCTGTATGCCACAGATGCATTACTCAAAAAACAAAAACAAAAACAAAAACAACAAAAAAACACGATTTTAATGAAAACTATGAATAAATTAAATTTTAATTTAGAACTGACTAGGATTGTTCATTGCCTTCAGATTATTATTTCTGACATTAGCTATTGTGGCATATTTGTCTGTCCCACGCCAGCCTAGTAAGAAGGTTTGTGGCCACACAGGATGTGCACCAGGGAGATTCTCTGATTCTTAACTTCCTCATTTACAAAATGGGGATAAGTCTTATCCTATAGATTGGTTATGAGAATTAAGTAAATTAACATAATAAAAGTTTGTGTGATGGTGATCTGTCCTAGATTTTATCCTTCATTTAACTTTGAAAAGTTGATTCACAATGGACGCTACACTTCACCTTGACATAAATGTATAGGATCCAGCAAACACTTGGATTGTCCCATGATAATTATTTCCATGCTTAAAAATATTAAATAGCAAGTGTTTTAAAGAGTATTTTCTGGTGCTCTGCTTTGTTGGTGCCTGGAGAATTCTCAGTACTCTGCCTGGTTTACTGGAGACTGACTGAGGATGGCTGAGGACCCCACTCAGCGTGGCCTGGAGGCTTTGGGATCGAAGCTTCACAGGAACACTAGTGACATTCCTCTATTACCAGAGGGACACTAGATAATCTCTCCCCTTCAATTCAAATAAGATTGCTTCTGAGGTTCAGTCTGAGGTGTGAATCAGCGGATGTTGTCAGAACTGCAAATAAGTGAGAACATTATCCAAAAAATAAGGAAAATGAATACATTTTTGATCTTGATAAAGCTTGATACTTAGGAGCCCTAGATGGGATGGTAAAAGTGCAAAGCACACTGGCTCTAGTGCCAGATAGATGGGGGCTGCTGTGTGTTACTCCCCATTGTGAAATGCTAGAGTCCCTCCAGTCCAAGAATCCATTGATTAAAAACATCAGCAATTTAATGAGAGCTTTTGGGGTGTGGACACAACTGTATGAATTGATAACATTGGTACATATTGATTGAAAATGTATTTCAGAACAAAAGAAATATAGTGCTGAAGCAATGAAATTCCTTATCTGTTAAAGACATGGTTGTACTCTTGTAATAGTATCTAGTTTGTTAAAAATATGATAATGCTAACACCTACCTCTTGGGTTGTTGTGATGATTAGATGAAATAACACCTTTCATAGCACTGGCATGGTGCCTGAACAGGTAAGTACTGAATGACTGACAGCACAGACTGGGAACACAGAGTACCTCTTCATGGTGAACAGTAGAGTCTTTATAACCTCAGAAATTAGATTCAGTACTCACTAAGTACATACTGGGCACCTACTATATTTCAGGTACCCAAGTATCACAAATACTTATATTTATGATAGTGAATAGCGAATTCTGCTTTCCTTAAGCTTGGAAGTCATTTGATAGTTCACTGTTGGGAAGCTTAATATCTATTGGATCACAAACACTCAGTAATGTGAGTATTTAAAATCAGGGGACCTATAAAAATTGATGAGATTTTATTTTCAGAATAACTATCCTGATTTTGCTAAAGTGATTTTCTTCCTTTTTTTTTTTTTTCAGAATCTAGCTATCAAAGTGAAATAAGGTAAGTTTGAGATCACATCAGTTTTCTGAAAATAAAAAACAAATGAAAACCAACCAACACAGACACACAGAGCTGTAGGATTTTAGGATTATGTTACTCAAAATTAGGTACTAAAAAGGGACAGCTCTGAAAAACACATATGCCAATCACAAACTCATAGGGCAACATTAATTGCAGAATAAAATAGGTGGGTTCCTACTGCCTAAGTTTCACTTACTCACTTAGGAAAGTGGAGTGGAATTTAGTTGGTGTCTGGCATTCGCAACTCTTTCCACAAGAGGACACTCTGTACTGTGACTGTTGGCCATCCTGCTTTGAGTCAAGGCTAGAGATGTGAGGGCCATTTCAAGGATGTCAAAGAACCAGGCAGAGGTCCTGCTGGAATTTCTGGGGTGGTAGAGACAGTGAGACCAGCTGGGTGACTAAGGCAATGAAATCGAACAGGCAGACAGATTAGGAGTGTTCACTGTTCAGGGCGGAGGGACAGAGAAATTCCTGCCATCCTCATGGCTGTCCAGAAGTAACTGCAGGCACTTTTAAGGTAACTATGTCAAGCACTTACTAAAGCCAGTTTCAATGTCTGCAATATTTACATAATTATAAATGCACTCAGGGGAAGGATTTTTAGACAGTGGTGATTTTGTTGGGGGTGTTAAAACCCCGTCTACTTTTCAGTATTTTATTAGATAATTTTAATATGTGAAATGCTGTGATTTAAAATATCTTCTGGCTACATGTGGTGAAGGATGATGTATGTAATCATCATGTAACAGATACCATCCATTTTCCCTCGACCCCAGTCACTCCCTGGTGATAACATGGTTCGCTTTCTCTGAGGATGCCACAAAGCAGCAATCTGAAAATACACCTCCTTTGGGGCCTGACTTGGGGCAAGAGGGGAGGAAGGAAAACTGACCTCTATAATTATACTGGAATTTCTCTCAATTGCTATCACCAGCAGGGTGGCGGTCTGAATTCTTCTGTTTGTCATTCTTGACTGTGTAATGTCAATTCTATTCTCTGGGATCTTAGGTGATTTCAAAACGTAGTACAGTGATCAACAGCTATTCAAGGCAATGAGTAGAGAACAGCAATAACAATGGCAATAATAATCATGACACAAGTAGTGACAGTAAGATCTAGCGTGAGTGCCTAGCATGCGTGTCAGGCTATTTTACACTTGGTGGAGGTTATCTTCCTTAATTCTCCCAATGATTTTATGAGACTATTTTTCCATTTTGTAGATGAAGAAGCTGAGGGGTATAGGGAGGTTAAGTAATGTGCTCAGTATCTCCTGTCCAGAGAATGGAAGGGTCCGAATGTGAACCAGCTGACCTTGCTCAGGGCCTGAGCTCTTGTCTGTGTGCAGCTCTCACCCTTAGATCCAAGTGCATTGGGCCCAGGGAAGAAAAATGGGGCGGCTCACTAGGGCCCCCACGTTGTACCTGTTTCCCCTCCCACTGGGTCAACAGTGCTAACTCTAGCTGCTCACAGATTTCTACTGCATTAAAAAGACATATATATATATATATATATATATATATTTCATGTATATATTTTTCCTATAGGATAAATGCATGCTTATTTTAGAAAAAAAATTTTAAGTAAGATAAAGATAGTTTATAAAAAATGGTTTTAAAATCACCCCTAATTCTATTGCCCAGAAGTAACTGTTACCGAAGTACATATATATTTACACACATGTGTGTTCACCAAGATACACACACGTATATGTTTTGTGAAATTTGGATCATAATAAACATCATTTAATATCTTTCTCTCCTCACTTGACACTATTCTGAAGATTATTTCTGTTGACAGATACTTGCCTGCAATGTTTTTGTTTCATTTGCTTAATAAAGTTTTTTATTAAAATGTAACTATAGAAAAGTACACAAATCGTGAGTACGTAGCTTGATTAATTTTCATAAAGCATATGGACCTGGACTGGTGACGCAGAACTAGGACACCCCCAGGACCCCCACCCCTACTCAGGCCTCCATGAAATCATCTGCTGCCTCTTCCTCAGGGGTCATGTCTTCTGACATCTATCCCCACATCCCCAGAAGTTAGAGTTGTGTAAACTTGATATTAATGAAGTCATGTGATATGTCTGCCTTCTTGAACTTCAGGCTGTGAGATCGATCATATTATTGAATGTCAGTGGTTTATTACTATATAATACCAAGTCAGGGGCATATAGGCAGTTGATTTTTCCATTTTACACTAAAAGGGCATTTGGGACCGTGACGAACATTACTGCACTAAGTGCAATACCTCACTAAGCGATCTTGTGTGTATCTTTTGGCGACATGTATACCAGTCCTCATTCCTGTTTTGTATTCTGTTGGGTATAATCTATTAGTGCAAGCTGGGCCATAGGACAGGTATATGTTCAGCTTTAGATGATGTTACCATACAATTTTCAAAGTAGGTGTAGCAGTGTACACATCTACCAGCAGTGTATGAGAGTTCTCACCTGTAATAATTTTTACAGGTGGCATGGAATTCCATTTTAGAGATGCATTGTCATTTATTTTACTAGTTCCCTACCTATGGCTGGGCACCTGTGTTTGCACTTTTGCTAGTATAAATAGCTCATGAATGAACATTCTTTCAGATAAATCTTTGCACATACCCTTGCGTATTTCCCTTCCTTATTATAATCAATTCTTAGTGGTTAAGCATAAATATTTAAAAATCTTTGGGTATCCATCGCCAAACTTCTTTCCCCTGGGAAGCTGCACCAATTTTTGCTTTATTTCAGAGGCTGGTATACTTTTTCTATCAAGGGCCAGATGGTAAAACTTTGGGTTTTTGTGGGTCACATGGTCTCTGTCACAACTACTCAACTCTGCTGCTGTAAGAGGAAAGCAGCCATAGACAATATGGAAGCAGACAGGTTCCAGTAAAACTTTATTTAAAAAAACAGACAGGGAGCTGGATTTGGCCTGTGGGTCATAGCTGGCCAGCCCTCCTTTATTTGGTCACTGATGTCTGAAAGTTGAGTACCAAACACCTGGGGACTGGAGTCTATGGACCTATCATGATAAAGTTCCATTTCTCCCCATAAGAGGAGTGTACGAGACACAGGGCATCTACACAGCTGTGCTGGTGGCTGTGAGGGTACATCCCGTTGCTAGCCACCCTCCAGAGGCCAGTGCCTGAGCTTCGGCCTTGTGGTGAGTTCATCGTGTGTGAATGCTCTGGGTGGAGTAGTGAGACACGAGCATCCATTGCTGATTAACATTTGGCTTTTTCAAATGGTCTAATTCTAGGAAATCTGCAAATATGAAGACAAACAAAGACACTTCTGGGACAAAGTTAAAAAGCGGGAATGAAAACTATGGCTACAGTTCAGATGACCCGAGGACCACAAGTGAGTGGCCAGGCGGGTGCAGCGGAAAGATCTGGAAGGGAAAGTGTCGGGAGAGAGGCTGACCCATCAAACACCGGCTTCTGAAGGCGGCTGCCTTAGTGGTTGGCGGTCATTATTTGGGGAGTAAGTTTTAGAAGAAAGAGACATTGCAGAGCTAGAAATATTCGAGGAGAAGATAGCAGTCAAAACCCACCTATTTGTCTAAAGTTTAAAAGAAATCGAGGTGGAAATCTAAGAGTTTTTTAAAAATAATTTTAATTTAAAATTTAAAATTTAAAATTTAAAATTTAAAAATAATTTTAAAAATAATTTTTTCTCTCTTTTTAAAAAAATGCTTCTACCTTCAAGTGTGTGAAGAGGCATTTGAATACATTGAGGGTAACTGCCCCCAAACTTCAATTAAGTCTGAAATTCAGCAAGAAATCTTTTCCTCTTCAATTTGACAGTCATAACGGGGGGTGTCTCTGAAACCGCTGTCACTAGTGAGGGACAAGGGTAGTATCTGAACCAAGATCCTTTTGAAAGCAGTTGAGAGAAAGAGAGGTGGTACCAATTACCCCTTAGCGGTTGGGGACGGAGACTGGCCCTCACAAGTTGCCGGCAAAACAAATTCCAGAGATAGAGTTTTGGTTAATTGATTCTTACCGAGAGGCTAGAAAACTTTTGTTCGCTGAGATTGGGACTCTATTCTTGGCAACCCCATAATTTCCATTTTTCCGTGGCTGTCTCCTATGTACATTCCAAATTGTATGCTTCGGATTTAAAAGAATTCCACAAAGCATAGGCAGTTTCCTTTGATAATCTGATCAAAGCCTCTTGCAGAATTTCCTGTGATAGAATATTTATTCATTACTATTTTATATGATTAACTGAGTAGCTTGGCCCAAATCATGGCCCAAACTGAACCTCTCTGGCTCCTTTTTTTCCCCTGTGTTTATTTCCCTCGATGAGCCATTAAAGCTATGGGTTCATCTTGTCTCTGGATGAGACTAAGCTGTCAAGAAAGGAATCGATTTTGAGTCCTTTTGCTATGTTTTTAATTTCATTAGAAAGATAAAGTTCTAAAAATATGTAACCTCAAGTAAACTTAAAAAAAAAAAAAACGTTTGTGGTTACAGATTATTGATGCCAGGGGTACTACATAAAAGCAAAGGTATTTCTTTATGGATTGGAATTGTTAGAATAGGTAGTGTGGTTTTGGTCACTTGTGACTCTAAAATCAGTTTGCTGTTGCAGAGACTGCTTCTCTCCCTGCAAAGTCCTCTGAACCCAGCGTCCCAGAACAACGTGTCAGCAGGCAACCGCACCAGGTGATGCAGACCTTCTCTCTTTTGGACTTTTTTTTTGCTACTTAAAACCCCTTCCCCTATGGTAGGTGATTACATTACATTCATGATGGACAAACGTGGCCTTTGCTCACCTCCAAGTCAACGGGACAGCATGGAGGAATGGGGCTGGAACACGTAGTATCTCTTTGTAGTGGGTTTTTTTGGGAAAGACCAGAAGTTTAATTGCGGGCTGGTAATCTTGAGGTGTCAGTTAGACGTCCACACAGAGGTATGGGGCACGCAGATGGATGTGTGAGTCTGGGGCTCCAGGCAGAGGCATGATTGCAGGTGTTCCTGGTTGCTAGGCAACCTTTGATGGGCACCTCAAGGGACATTAAACGTAAAGAAAACCACCCATTAGGAGCCGTGAGGACACAGTACGCTCATTTTCCAACACTGAGTTGGCATTGGTTGTCACTCATGAATGAATTAGAGTTCATATGCAGAAAATATGTTTCTTTATATCCAAAAATCATATTAAACAAATGTGTATATGACCAGGACCATTTTCTGGCCTGTGCATCTTCAAAGGAGAAATGCTTGGATGCGATTCTGCCATAATGTCCCCAGTGGGTGTTTTCCCCATTTAGCTTTTGGGAAAGCCAGACTCACAGACTGGGTTTCCGGCAGTTTGCTGGATCAGGTGGCCTTGGCTTTGTTCTGCCTTGGAGTTGCTACTGGCCTGAGGAGCTACTGCTGAGCGTGTGCCTTTGAAGCCCCATCTTTCCTTGCTGGCGTAGATGTTCACTTGAGTTTCCAGGCAGCTCCAGGCTGTAACATTCCTTCCTGCAGTCGGGATTCAGCTCCATACATACAGCTTGCCAGTGATGTGTGCCTCCCAGGCCTTTGGGGGGAAGGGGAGCTTTGATTGATGCTCAGCCATGTATCGGGAGGAACGAAATGATGCTATTAGCGGCAACCAAGGTAGCCAGGCGGGAAGATGTATGAGGGGTCTTCACAAAAGCAGATGGGCCTACGTGACAAATTGTGAGCCCCTGGTACGAGTTCAAGCTCCTTCCTCAGGCTGGGTGGCAGGAAAATAGAGACATAAAATTCTTCCCATCAAGGCTGCTCTCTTGGGCACATATATCTCTTGGCTGTAGAGATGCAACCGTTTCCCCTTCGAAGGGCTGGTGGCTTGACTAAGAGATGGTGGGTGAAAGAGAGTAATCGCTGGGCTGTGAAGGATGTTTCCTGTCAAGATCCCCCGACTGGACCTGAGTGGGGAATGCAGTCTGATGAAATGGCTCTCTCTTCCCCAGTGCCAAGCATGGTCACTCCAAGAAGACACTTAAGCCAATCTTTACTTCCGTGGCCTTTCTGTGGTTACCTTTTTCTGTTGTGTGTCTTTCCACCTGACAAGCCACAGTGCTCAGGTCTGCAGTGGAGGATAGGGCAGGTGGGGAGGAGATACAGAAGAGGGTCATGTCAGTTGATTGCCCTTGATATAAATGAGGAGAAAGGGGAAGTCTAGATGCATTTGGATATAGGAATGGAGGATGATGTTTGGAGCTCTGAATGGATGCTCTTAGGCTTGAAGTGTTGTTTTGAAAATATACAGGGAGAGAATTTAAGAAGTTTCTGCTACTTAGACATGTAACCGGTTAAATAATCTATTGGTGGAAAAAGAACAGTGGCCATTGAGGTGCTGGGCCCTCGGGGCTGGTAACACACATATCTGTGTTTCTTGAAGTGTTTGTAAGGCTACTAGGGAAGCAGGGCATCTTGGCCAGAGCACCAGGGTCCTTAAGAAGCAAAGAGGATGAAAGGAAGATGAACTGTTTTTGCCTGAGCTAGAAACTGACAAAGGGTTTTTAAATAGCTGGATTTTTCTAAGTGAGGGAACTTGGACAAGCACATTTATGAAGAGGCCTGTCTTTGGTCATTAAGCAAAGGGTGCCTTGCCAGTGTGGGCCCAGGCACTGTGTCCTGGATGTGCCCGTTTGAAGAACCTGAATGTGAGATGTACTGTGAGCTATGCTTCCCGTGAGGCAGTTAAAGGACGAGGGAGCAGACAAATATCATATAATATCACTTCTGTGTGGAATCTAAAAACAATGATACAAATGAACTCATTTACAAAACAGAAATAGACCCACAGACACAGAAAACAAAATTATGGTTCCCAAAGGGGAAAGGGGGAGGAGAGATAAGTTAGGAGTTTTGGATTAACAGGTACACACTACTATATATAAAATAGGTAAACAACAAGGTCCTACTGTATAGCACAGCGAACTCTACTCAATATTTTGTAATAAGCTATGAGGGAAAAGAATCTGAATATATATACATTGGGGCTGGCCAAAAAATTCATTCGGGTTTTCTGTACCAGCTTAAGGAAGAACCTGAACGAACTTTTTGGCCAACCCAATATATGTAACTGAATGGCTTTGCTGTACACCTGAAACTAGCACGACACTGTAAATCAACTATACTTCTATTAAAAAAAAAGGAGGGAGGGAACAAATGGTCAGTAGAAGAAAGGCCTGGGCCTTCAATAGGTCCCTTCTGTGTCCTTATTCCAAAGAGGACATACTGCTGCATGTCATCATCTGGCCACTGAAGAGCCACCAGGTGGTCGAGCCATAGCTTGTAGAAGCAGGTCCAGGCGACCCTTAGCCAGAGGTTCTTTTAGAACTTGCCAAGGCCAGGCCTGCAGCCCAGCCTGGTCTGTGTGGCCACGCCCCCTGCTGTGCAGGCTCATGCGGACTTTCCTCAGAACTCCTTAGGCCACGGAGCAAGGACAGTGCAATCTGTGCTTTCTTTCCTCATAAACTTTCTCCATGTGCAATGAGCTTTGCTCCCTGGAGGGCCCAGGACAGGAGAGCTCTTCAGAGCACTGTCCTTTGTCCTTTCATCCTGCCTTCCTCCCACTTGTCTCTGTGTGACTCATTTTGTCCACTTTGCCGCCCTTGCTGCTGTGGGGTGTGGCCACACACGTGGGCCTCAGGGGCCCAGAGCAGGTGCCCAGTGAGACCCATGTGGGCCTCAGGGGCCCAGAGTAGGTGCCCAGTGAGACTCCTGCCTGAGAAGCTGGCTTGTTAGAACTCAGGGTGGTTGACTATAGATGACACAGTTTTGCAGAAAATCTGCTCCAGGCTCAGGTCCCGAAAAACCTGTCAGTTAAACCAAGAGATCTCAAGCTGTGAGTCAGCCTGCAGCAAAAGCACAGCCCAGGCTCCATCACTGTGGAGCTGGTTGGGTCAGATGCAAGTCCTGTGGGTGGAGACAGGGTGTGCATGACAGCAGCTAAGGCTCCTGCTCTGGGTCAACAGGTCTCACTCAGAGCAGGGCCATCTTGGCTTTGGCAAGTACAACAACTCACAAGTCCACGTGTGCGTGTTCTCTCCACGCTGTCTTCTCTTCTGCTCGGCTGGTGTCTTATTTGCCCTCTGCATCGCAGGAGGTCTTACGTAGTGGATGGCCATTGACTACACACAGTCTGGCACAGCATTCTGGGCATTCCTTACACAGTAATTCCTTCCAGTGGAGAATGTTCTCAAAGCCCAGCATTGTGCTGTCACCAACAGGGCGACACCAGGAGCCCGTGTGCATATAGACTGATCACCACAGTGAAATCATGGCAAAAAATATTATTTGACAAACATAGACAAGTATGCAACATTTTGTTTTGAATCCCTGAAGAAAGATACATGATTCCAGGTCAAACTGCCATTTTGCTCCTTTGTAATCTTGGTCACTTTGGGTTTTCTTCAAGGCTCTCTCCTTCAAACATGATCCAAGAAAGGGAAAACCCGAAGGGCCTGGGGTGCTTAGGGGACTCATCACTGTGGCCTTTGGGATGCCCAGGCTCTTGGCCCCCACCTGCAGACTTCCTGTCTCAGTAGAGCTGCGGAGGCAGCCTGGGCATCTCTGCATTTTAGAGCCAGCTGAGGGGGCTCTGACATGTGGCTAGATTGAAGGGTTATTGGCTGCCTTATAGTAAGATGGCAGTGGGGCTTGCAGGAGGGGAGAGTGCGACTTTGCCAAAGATGGACTTGCATGCTTTGTCATTTCACCCCATCCAGTACTTATGATTTGCTCAGAGTGCCAAGGCATTCATGGTAACCACACTGGGCAGAGGCTGTACTGGACCCCTCCCCAGTGTTGATGGTGCCTGTACTCTTGCTGACATCATGTGGACTCCCTTACAAGGAGAGAAGGCCCTGGAGTCTGTGGCCATGTCTGCTCAGAGCTGCGCACAGTTGCTGAGGAGAGGGCGATTTTCGGGTTCACTCCCACCCAGAGTTCCACCACCTGTGTCTACATCCGCAGGCTGCAGAGGGCCTCTACATGCCGCATCTTCATCATGCATTGCCAAGTATGATTTAAATTACGTCCTATGCTCAACAGTTACTAGAACAGGAGCTTGGATTCTTAATGCTTTAGGAAGGGGTGAAACCCCGTCGCCACGACACCAGCCCCCCACGACTCTCGCTCCTCCGACATCCTTCCCGTTAAGGTCCGGAACGCCAGAGACCCACTCTGCTGTGGGGAAGGGCAGCATGGATGTTGTGGCGAACCTCTTTTCTCAGATCTCCAGTTGTCTCCTGATGCTTTCAGTGCTGACCGTCCTTGAAAACGTCAGAAGGGGTGAGGGCTCAGCTCAGGGACAGTGTCATCAGGGACAGTGTCATCGGGGACAGGATGTGGGCTGGAGGTTGGCTCCACAGAAGGCCAGCCACTGTGGTCAGAGGCCACAGGGGGCCATGGATGATGTAGGCCAGGGCCATTGGGAGTTGCTGGCTTGTAAACCATGGGAAGATGCCCCCGCTAGCCGCCTGGAGCACCTCCCATGCTCATCCCTACCTCTCAGCCAGCTGCCTTGCCAGGGTGCCCCGTGAACTTGGGGCTCTTTACCAGAGGCTGAGATGGAGAATTCTCATTCCTATAACCAATGGGCAGAAATGCGGGAAGTGTTTCCTGTATCCTGGGTACCAAAGAATGCTCACTGAGCGTGGAGGTGCAGCCAGCACCTAGAGACACACTTATCTGGGTACCTGCTCATCGAGCCGTGGTCCTCAGTACAGAGAAGCTCTTTGGGGGTGGGGGGAGGGCTTGTTAAAATGCCCACTCCTGAGTCTGTTGCAGAATTTCTGGATCAGAATCTCTGGAAGATACGACTGAAGAAAGGGCATTTTTACCTTGTTCCCCAGGCAATCTGCTTTAAGGAAATTGTTTTGTGGCTCAGCGTGAAAACAGACACATATTGCATTGTTTCTAAGGGAAAGTCATTCTGAGTTTTGGGGGTTTGCTTACATCCATGCATTTGGAATGATCCGTGTTCACAACCCCACTGCGTGGAGCTTGCCACAGAGCATGGAGGATCTGAGATGCTTGTGGGGGGGCTGTGAGGAAGATCAAATGGAAGCGTCTCAGCCCCAGAATATTCCATAACCACATGGCACCGTAGCTGAGGGACACTTTTTAAATCTCCCATGTTTTGGGTGGGTCTAAGGCACATCGCATTCAATATATATGAATGATAGAAAGAGGATTTGGGGCTGTAGAGACCCCAGATCATGCACTAAATTTTAAGAAGGCTCAGAAGGTAAAGAAAGAGACTGATTTTACAAACTGACATAAACCAAAACATGGCACTTCTCTACACTGATTATTCCTATCCTGGCTGCATCTCCAGTTAGGATATATAACACTGACATTATTTTCCAGACAAGAATTTCTGCTGGTGAAGCACAGATAACGCAGGTGTAACTGCCCACGAAACACACTGGCGCAAAACTAATAAATAAAATCAGAAATTCTTTCTGAAAATTACAGTTAATGGGAAAGGGAAGCCCCTTTTATTTTGATAGGAAGTCACAGGGTTTGCAAATATTTTGCATCATGATGAATATTTCAATCAAACGATCCCCCTTTTCCTCTCCTTGACTCTCTGTCAGTCCATTTTTCTGGTTATTTCAGGCAATTGTGTCTTTCCTCCTGACTCTTTCAGTTTTGGGGGGTGAGGTTATGAGTGACTTGAAACCTGGATGATGTCTCCCCTGCTAATCTTTTCCCCACTGAGGTCAACAGAAATAAACTCTTGATAAACTTAGAAAACAACAATGGTTGGTGCAACCATGTCATGGGGACAAAAGGCGAACGACAGCAAAAATCCCAGGCATCATCACAGCAGAAGCACCGTCTTTATGGTGCCATGTAGCCCCATCAGACCTGTGGGGCTACATCCTTGTGTGGTGGGGAGTCAATGAATTAAAACCATGAGTCAGCGTGATTCCACCCCCCAGACTTGCTGACATTCCATTGTGATGTAAATTATTTATGGTGCCCAGTTACATTATTTAAGATGTTAAATGCAGCTCTGGTGCCCTGGAGTCTGAGTCAGCATTCTCAGGGTGGCAGGAAAATACGCTGTATGTATTGTATTTTATTTTAATTATTTATTTATTTTTTATGTAAAGGACTGATGACTTTTAATTAATTAATTAATTTTATTTTGGCTGCATTGGGTCTTTGTTGCTGCACACAGGCTTTCTCTAGTTGCGGCGAGCAGGGGCTACTCTTTGTTGTGGCGTGTGGGCTTCTCACTGCGGTGGCTTCTCTTGTTGTGGAGCACGGGCTCTACGTGCACGGGATTCAATAGTTGTGGCGCACGGGCTTAGTTGCTCCGGGGCATGTGGGATCTTCCCGGACCAGAGCTCGAACCTGTGTCCCCTGCACTGGCAGGCGGATTCTTAACCACTGTGCCACCAGGGAAGTCCACTGCGTGTATTTTAGTAGGGCAACACTCTTCCACAGGAATTGGCCCCTCAGAGGAGTGAGTGGTCTGCTTGGTAGTACATTTCAGAATGTAAGAGCCAGGAACACTGTCCGAGGAGACAGGTGGGTGATCCACACGGAGTCAGTTCTTCAGTTTTGCTCCTTTCCTTTAGAAGGAAAGTGTGCTCTTTAAAGAAGGTTAGAGATATTTTACATTTTCACACAATGGTGAGAATTTCCATAGGAATATTGAAAAACAAAACAGTGAATCTTTACTGTAATTTGCCTTCATACAAACACTGGATTCTTTGAATTGGATCGCTCTTTAGGCCCTGAACTTGGGAAACATCTGCAGTGTGTGTTATTGAAAATCATAGAGGAAGGACCTGTGTTAATGTTTGTGCTCCTCTCTGCACCCTCGCTTTATCTTAGCTGACGAGTTGAGCCTCCTTCTCAAGTGTGCCGTTATGATGATCTCAACCAACTCAATCTACCCTTTTCTCTTTGTCTCCAGGGATCTGATCAGCACCAGCTGGGCCCAGCAAGTCGCCCACAGGTTTCCTTTAACGTGGCCAGTCCTAAGAAGGTCAGGAATGTGACTTTGGTATAGTACAGGCATCCCTTTGGCTCCACATGGCACTTGGCTGATGACCTACATCGTGATGATATTGTCAGTGCTCATGATGATGTCATCCCTGCTCATGATGATGTCATCATTGCTCACAGTGGTGTCGCCATTGCTCTCCATCATCCTATGGCTGGGCTCCAGCTTTGCCAACATGACCTTGAAGAAGCAATGTTGGCATCATCGGAATGGATATTTTATATGGAGGGAAGGAATCCATTTTCCCAGCTTCTAAAGTGGAATTTGACTTTTAAAATGTTTTGAAATTTCAGTGAATTCCATAGTTACTAAGTAAAAGCTGCAAATTCATCATGATCGTGCTTCTCATCACTCAACACTCCTGCTTGCTAACCCAACAAGTGGTAGATAAGTCGACATCCCACCATGACATTTAAGAAGTTTTTATTATCTGAAATCCTATGAAGTGATATTTATGTATGTTTACTATGTGGGTATTATTGCATATTATCTGTGAAAAAAAGAGGATAAAAATTAGGATCAATCAGACATCTAAAATTGCCCAGAATGGGGAGCTCCCTGGTGGTCCAGTGGTTAGGACCTGGCGCTTTCACTGCCATAGCCCGGGTTTGATCCCTGGTCAGGGAACTAAGATCCTGCAAGCTGCGTGGAGTGGCAAAAAATAAAAATTAAATTGCCCAGAAAATCAGAACTTATAGGTTATAAGTAATTTTAAATTCTAAAGCTAATGTGTACCTTGAGAAATATCTCATTATTGAATATTGACATGAAGACATTCATTTTTATCTGCTCCCTCATCAGTCTTGTTCTCTTGTCCTCGGATGAGTTAGATGTGGATTATGTTTTGTGGGGGACATACTCCAGCCATGAAAAAACTGGAAATGGGTAATATGTTCTTTCATAAATAAAAGGGAAAACACCAAAAAACTTGTATTGCTTTTCTTAACCCTTTACTATTCAGGGGGTAGTTTAAAGAATCATAGAGCTTAGGAACCAAGAATTTTCCAAGAAACAAAACAGAGACCTCAATAAAATTTTTTTTTTCTTTTTTCATGTAGAGATTTTCCGTGTATTTCACTGTCCGCCCCATCACTTCATATTTAACGTAGAGGCTATTATTTGGCTGTACTCTGCACTTGTTGGAACAGATTGCTATGATGGTCAGTAATTAGCAACTGCTCTGGGCCCCCAGGCCCAACCACGCTATTGCTGAAGTGGAATTCGAATTTTTTTTTTTTAACACTTTTATTGGAGTATAATTGCTTTACAATGGTGTGTTAGTTTCTGCTTTGTAACAAAGTGAATCAGTTATACATACACATATATCCTCATATCTCCTCCCTTTTGCATCTCCCTCCCACCCTCCCTATCCCACCCCTCTAGGTGGTCACAAAGCACCAAGCTGATCTCCCTGTGCTATGTGGCTGTTTCCCACTAGCTATCTATTTTACATTTGGTAGTGTATATGTGTCCATGCCACTCTCTCACTTCATCCCAGCTTACCCTTCCCCCCACCGTGTCCTCAAGTCCATTCTTTATGGAATTCAACTTTTAAAAGTGTTAAGATTGTGGTGAATTCCTTGAAGTTACCTGGTAAAAGACACAAATTCATCGTGATGATGTTTCTTATCACTCCACACCGCTGCGTGCTAATCCAGTGGTAGAGAAGTTATACAGTCAGACCTTGGAGATGTTGCAGGTTCGGTTCCAGAACACATTAATAAAGCAAGTAACAGGAATGTTTTGGTTTCCCAGTGCATGTGAAAGTGACATTTACACTATACAGTAGTCTATTAAATGTGCCCTAGCACTATGTCTAAAAGACAACGCACAGACCTTAATTAAAAAATATTTTCTTGCTAAAAAATGCTCACCATCATCTGAGAGTTCAGTGAGTTGCAATCCTTTTGCAATAGCCACATCAAAGATCACTGATCACAGGTCACCATGTCGATTGAAAAAAGCTGCACAGCCTAAAAGTTGAGAATTACGTTTTACCTGGCAGATTTTCTGAGGGCTTCAAGCCTGGAAGGCAGCCTCTCAGTTAACTCTGAGGGACCACTCCAAAGAGGGCAGGGTGGAGCCAGGATATATAGCAGTTTTGCAGCAAAGAGCAGGTAGTTGGAACATCAAAAAGTTACTGTTAATTAAAGAAAACCAGACACCTCAAGCTAAGGAATTTAGTGCTTTTCTATGTATGTGAAGATGCAAGAGGCTGGGCTCATTGCAATCATTCCTTCGATGTGCACCTCAGCTCTCTGGGGCCAGCATCCTTTTCTTTCCCAACCTGAGTCCCCTCCGGGGCACTGCTTGAGGGGGCTGCAGTGGCTGAGGTCTTGATGGCTGCACCACCCTTTGTTTGCTGATATGGCAGGCAACGTTTTTCATCCACAACCATAATGAGTATAATAATAATGAAAAAGTTTGAAATATTGCAAGAATTACCAAAATGGACTCAGAGACATGAAGTGAGCAAATGCTTTTGGAAAAATGGCGCCGTTAGACTTGCGCTGGGTTGTCACAAACCTTCAATTTGTAAATAATGCAATATCTACATAGCACAATAAAGCAAAGAGTAATAAAACAAGGTGTACCTGCATACTATCATGATTTTTAAAGTATTTCTTCATCATAAATCACATTTGGTCTCTACCCTGGACCCCCTCCTATGAATTGACAACTAACTCAAGGGGTATTTGCTGGTACAACGTGGGGCTGTGTGCTGTTCTGTACTGTTTTGATTGGTTGGTGCCCCTACACTACCCACTCTGATTGGGTGGTGCCCATACACTATCCATTCTGATTGGGTGGTGTTCCTGTTTTATAGGTTGTCAAATATTTTGTATATGCCCGCTACTTAGAGGATCCTAAAAAAAGATCACCTCTTCGAAGACTGTGTCCCTAATGTGAGGGAATTGGTCACTATTTTCTTTAGAGTAGAACTAAAATGCAAAATTTCGAAACACCATGAATATAGCTGTATCACTTTTGTCACCTACAAATCGGCACTTGCCATCTAGATTTACAATGATTAAATTATGAGCCACTGCAGCTGCTGACCTTCAACACCTTCTGAAAGGAGTTCAGGGTGGAGATCAGGAATGAGACACTCTGTGCTCTAGAAAAAACTGGCAGAACAGGCCTTCAGATAGTTATTTTCAGGAGATGATTTTTATGAGCTTAATTCTTGTATCTCCGCATATCTAGAAAAGCGCTAATATCCTTCATGGTGACGTCTGCTCCTCGTGACTAGAAGTAACCTTCACGAGACTAGCAGAACCTCCTGCAAAAAATATGTACTTGATGGCATGGACTCCCTCTTCACCAAAACCACATATATACTGACCTTCCCCCCTACCTCTTTGGAGCAGTTTCTCAGAGCTCTCTGAGATGCTGTCTCCCGGGCTATAGTCCTCATTTTGCCCCAAATAAAACTTAACTCACAACTCTCATGTTGTGCATTTTTTTTCAGTTGATACTTTCCAAAGAGTCCTTTTTATGAGAAAAATTGACAATTCAACTGCTTAAAAGTAAGACTCTTGTTTATTATAACTTCTTTACTCCCTCTCAATGTGATCCTGTCTTCTGCCACCATCCTTGAATGGGTACAAGTCAAGGATAAAGCCCAGAAAGTTCAGGAGACCTTCTGGTCTCCTGTTAAGCAGAGCTGTTCAGTGAGTGAATTCCAAATTCTTTTCTTCATAGTTTACTTTCCCTAAATTGCCACAGAACACGGATCCCGAGACAAAGCAAATGTCATGTCATTTACGCTTTTTGTAACCTTTACAGAACCTAGCATTCTGGAGGCACTGAGTAAATATTGACCTCAAACAAGTCAATACAGGGAAACACAGTATATTGAAGTATAATGAATATTTGCCATCTGCCTGCTATAAGAATCATATTCTTGTGGTTATTTTAGAAGTCGGTGGGGGGTTGCATGTAGAATATAGTTGAACTCCAAGTTTTAGACTCTGGAGAACAATGCTGAATGATCTTCATAGAAATTTCTTCAATTTGCTATGTGCTTGGTGAATCAGTCTACAATATTTTTTTCATTTATCAGGCTCGGGAAGGCTTCCTGTGTCACAAGTAAACAGTTTCTTTCTTATAGTAGCTTGTTCTATGAGTAAGTTTTCTCAAAGGGACCCCTGGCTAGTTTTTACTTTGCAAGAGGTATGGATATTTTATAAACAAAACTATCTAGAGTTTCTCTGTCCAATACCATAGACATACGTGGCTATTTGCATTTAAATTATTTGAAATTAAGTAAAATATAAGATTTATTTCCTCAATCCTACTAGCCACATGTCAAGTGCCCAATACCACATCTGGCTAGTGGCTACTGTATTGGACAAGCAGATTACAGCCTTCATTGTTGCAGAAAGTTTTTTCTGGACAGTGCTGACCTAGAGCTAGCTACTTGAAAATGACCTAGATGTGTCAAGGGTGGGCTCTTTTACACAAACATGCAATCCATGTTTTCTCTCAGTGTTATGTCTGTGCAGTTTCCAGTTTCTATTTAGGAATCCTGCAAACCCCAGGGCAGCTCTCAATTGATAATGGGATTTTGCTGATGTGGTAGATTTATCTCTCACTCCTGCAGTGCAGAGAGCTGAAGCAGGCTCAAGGGGAAGGGGTGAAAGGAGTCAAACCATCATGGCCAAGGGTGTTTCTCCGAAAGATAGATACGGCTCTCTGCTAATAAATGGCTGATGAAGGCCCAGATATATTTAAACAAATGTTCCTCAAAGCGTTGAGTCATAAAATGCTACCCAGGGAGACCACACCTGCCCACGCTTCCAAGGGTCTTTGACCCTGGTAATGCTGTCAGATTCCAAGCCTGCCCTATGGAGTCAAGGATCTTTCATCGTTTACTTAAGAGTAGGACTCAAGTCATAATGTCAACACATTGAAGCTAATTGGAGAGGTCCAATAAAATCACTTCCTTTGTTCTATATGGCCCTGTTCTTGGAAAACAATTAGGGGCATTAAAGCTGCGTTGC